CTGCTGAAATTTGCATGCCATTAGCATAACACTTTGCATCAGAACATGTCTTTTAGAAGGAAGACTTCAAATTATGATTCAATGCAGGCAGCCTTTAAAATAAATGCTAATGGGTAGGACGTCTCCTAATCCAATAACCCTGACCTGGGTTATTGGAGAGCGAGGTGGGGAACTGCTGCATGGAGAGTTTCTCCTGTAAGAGAAGGCAAGGAGGTAGAGTGGACGGGACTTCTCCAACGGGCATCTGACAAGCAAGCAGCTGGGGCAGCCAAAGGATGGAGTGCACCTAAAGTGATCCCTGACCTCCATCTCCCCAGGTGCCCACAGGGAGACATGTTCCAGCTCTGCCCCACCATAGGGTCCCAACCCCATCAGCCACATACTCCTGGTCACCACCCCCTCCAGATGGATGACGTTGGGGTGGTCAAACTGTGCCATGATGCTGGCTTCACTCAGGAAGTCTCGTCTCTGCTTCTCTGTGTAGCCTGCTTTCAGTGCCTTGATGGCCACAGGAATCTCCCTCTTCCCTGGCAGCTTCAGGCGGCCGTAGCACACCTCTCCGGACTCCCCTGCAAGGCAAGGGAAGGTGAGGGCACAGGGAGCTCCTCGGCTTCTTGCACCAACCCACCAGCACCATGTATGACCCAGTCTGCTGGCACACTCGCAGAGTGCTCCAATCCCTTAGGATTCTTGGGCTCTTTGTGCATCACTGCCTCCGAGTACAGAGGGGATTGTCCATCCCCAGCTTCCAGTGACATCTCTGGGAACTAAGCAGAAATATCAGAAACCACGAACTGGGCAGAAATGTTAGACACCACCTCTCTCTGGTGCCTTTTACTGAAGGTAATAGGCCAAGAGCGATTACAGTGGCACTTGCTTTACTGCTTTTAATGAACAAATTTGGGAGTCTCAGAGCAGCAGGGATGTCTCTCAGCCAGGCTTCCTCATGCTGCTCTACTTGGCTCTGCGCTGTCCCTCAGCACAAAGGGTGAGCGTCTGTAAGCCCTTGGGATGCTACTGGTGAAGCTCCAGCTCCGGCTCTGCCCTGTTCTTCCCTGCAAGCCCCTGTTCCTAAGCAAAAAAACCCCTCATGTTCTGAAAATTTACCATTTTGCTTGCAATTTCATTTGCATCTCATGACCCCAGATGTTCGTTCTGAGGTTTGAAAGAAGAGTGGCCGTGTTGGAGCACTCGGGACAAGCTGAGCCCTGAGTCATCAGTGCCACACCAACTGAACTGCAGCCTTCTGTGCTAGGCTGCTTCTAAAGAGTTTATTTCATGCCCAGGGACTCACCGGACCCAATGACCTTCTCAATCTTGATCCGGGAGGCCTCGATTTCACGGGTGAACTCATGCACGGCTTGGCAGGGGTCCTCATATGTGTGGGGGTCCACATAGAACTTGGACTCAGGAAACTTCACTACCAGGTTTCAAAGGGAAGAGAGGAGATAAGCTCTTTCAGGCAGGTCTGATGAGAAGTAGGGGCATCCAGCATCCAGGCAGAGGATGGCCAGGTTTAGGACTTCTTGGGTGGACATGCTGAAGAGCCACAGAGGTTGCAAACCCAAGGCACTCTTTGGCATAGCAATGTCCTCAGAGCAGTCCAGGAGCTGGCTGCCCAGATTTCCTCCATGTGATTGCCCCCCTACATCTCACCCCTATCCCCACTCCTCACCTGTGATTGTTTTTCCACTTTTCTGACCTGCTGCTGGCTGGGATGAATGTGCTGCAGTCCCATCTCACACTGTGCAACCCTTCTACCCCATTACCAGGATGCCCCTGGGATCAGAGCCCCCACTCAGCTCACCTAGACACATCCCCAGAAGCAGGCAGTGGTCAAAACCCTTCCCTCTGGAAACCACAGCAGTGCCAGAGGGTAATGGTCCAGGTCCCTGACCATCCACAGGGATGAGGTCCTTCACATCCCAGGGGCAGCAGCAGGGAGGGTCCTACCTTGCCCATTCTGATAATGCATCTTCTCCTCATCGGAGTCCTGGAAAGCCTTGCTGTACCCGCAGTGCCTGCCACGGTGACACAAGGATCAGAAGAGGTGCTCTCATTCCTCACTCCCACAAGCAGCCCAAAGGCAGGGTGGAAAACAGTGCATCCCAGGGCTGTAGGCAGCCAGGAGGAGATGGAGCTAACACTTGGCCTGCATCTTGCTGCACTGCCATTTTGGCTGGGAGCAAGGTACATTCCAGGTTCTCTCCAAGGCTTGGCAGTGCTAAAAGCTACAGCCCTTTTGTCTCCTCAGGGCAGTGGCATGTATGCTCCACACGTGTGGCTCATCCATGCTGAGATCTAGAAGCACACAGTCCCCCTTAGACCTTTCTGATGGAGAAGAGCTCTCTCCACCCCTGAGCTACTCCCCAAGCCCATCCAGGCAGCCCTTATACTGGTAGCGGTACTGGTACCAGTATTGCTATGGCTATTGCTATTCACCCTGCTGGTATGAGGGGAAGGTCTGGAGACTGGCTCTGCCTCAGGAAAGGTGGTGGTAAGGTGATTTCTAAATTAAGTTTCTTTGCTGCTTATTAACCCTTGACCTATGGCTGCTCTGGACAAAACTGAGAAGAGGAAAGTTGTGCCCAAGCTCTCTCATCCCTCCTGCCCACTTGGTGACAAGTCACACTGACCTCCATAAAACACTTACCTCTTCTTGCAGATTAGGACCACCAGCAATGCAACAAGGCCAGTGATGAGTGTCAGGCAGATCCAGACAATCGTCATTGTGTCGTACCGGAGAGAGACTGGAAGAAGCAGGGTAGGAAGGAAGTGAGCTGGAGAGGGGAGTGCTCTTTTGAGCTAAGAAACTTACCTACACCAATGTGGTCATGGTCTTCAAAGATAAAGCACCATTCCCCATCCATACCCAGCTTTGGGGCTCTCCCAGTGTACAGGGACCATTTATACTTGGGGAAATCAAACACAGAACTGGGAAAGCCATAGCAACACAGCAAACCAGCGCATAGAGGAGTCTGGAGCCTCAGGACATCACCAAGTCTTCCCTGCCCTAACTGCTGTCCTTCCTCCCTCTTCTCTCTAATGTATGAACACATCTCAGGAGAGCAACCTCAAGCAATCCCTGCAGGCTGAAGCCCCAGAATATGTGCCTCCAACCTCCATCCCTGTGTGGCAGAGGAGGAATAGCCATGGACAAGGGCATTGCCATCCCCCGTGTTCCCTGCACCATACTTCCCACATCCCACAACCACACACACTCACCTGGTTTCCCTGTTTCCACCTCCACAGTCTGACTGAACCTCCCACAGCCGGCAGAGGTGCGAGCCCGAACCTGGAAAATGTAGCGGGTTGCAGGCTTGAGCCCAGAGATGGTGGCAGTGGTGCCCTTGGATTTCAGAGTCGAATAGCTCTGCATTTCCTTGTCCTGGGGAAAAGCAACACCAAAAATCTTGCTGCATCAGCACAGCAACCACAAAGTCTTTCTTCTTTGTGCAAGGCTGGCTGACAGCAATTGCACCAGCAGGATTCAAACCCAGCCGTGTTCCTTTCTAAACCCACCATGTGGGGACTGGTTTGTGGCAGCAAGCTCAGCGTTACCTTCTCATAGTACTTGATCTCGTACTCCAGGATGATGCCATTGGGCTGGTCTGGCTCTTGCCACAGCAAAGTGACGCTGTTCTGGCCTGTGCTCTCCTGACGGACCACCACCACCTGGGATGGGGCTGGGGACACAAATGGCAGGGTGTTAGGTGTCTGCTGATGAGGGTCCTGTGTGGGTGAGGACAGCAGGACACAGCAGCAGGGAAAGGTGGGACTGGAGGCCAATGCAGGACCCCTGATTTAAACCAGGTTTCATCAAAGCCATGTGGAGATGAGTGCTGTGAAGGTGCCTGCAAATTTTGTTTGCTTTAGTTGCCTCCATCTCTTTCCCAGGCAGGGAAGTGAGCAGGCTCTGAGAAGCTGAAAGAGGAGAGCACTGTCCCAGCACAGGCTGGAGGGAACACTGCTGCTTTGTTGTGATCTGGGGCCTGAAAGGAGAAGGTGCTGAGGGGCTGGAGGTTGTGGAGATCCCTGGCAGGACCATGACTCCAGCCCCACCTGGGGAAGGGTGAGAGGGAAAGGGGAAGATGGAAAAGGGAGATGACAAAGGCTCAGAGGGGTGATCAGGGACTGAACATCAGTCTAAAGGTGCCCTGGGGTGCTCTCCTGCCCCAAGATACTTGTCATCTGCCTGGGCCTAGTTTGGGAGCCTGTGAATCAGTCCTTGTACTTGCCATGTCCAAATTGGAGCTGCCACAGCTGCAAAAGTCAATTAACCAGCCTCTTTCATCCCCCTGGAAGGACCCCAGAGAGTGCCAGTCATTGGGTCCAACTCATGGGGAAGGGATCAGGCACCCTTTATGACCCTAATTGCCAGATGAAAAATGGGATGTGGCAGCTCTGGGGAAGATGGAGCTGCTGTCTGCCATCGCTGCAGCTCAGGGGTGTTGCTGGAGCAGCACAGAGGCCACAGGGGCTGCAGCAAGGACTGAAGGGCAGAAGTTAACAGCTCAGTTCATCTTTGGGCTGGCTCCTCTGAGAAGCAGAAATCACTGTCAGGATACAAAACCTCAGGGAGCAGGGATTGGGTGGGATGGAGGAAAACAGCTAAACCCTGCAGGCACATGCAGTGCCATCTCTGCCACAGCCCCAGGACATCTCTGCTGCACCTTCTCCTGCCTGCTCAGCTGCCCAGGGCTGGTGGGACACAAGTGACCAGCTGGCAGCAAGGACAAGCCTCCCTGTGCAGGGCAGTAGGGGTCCCTCAGCCCCTCCTGATGAGTAGGGATGCTATGTGATGCCCGGCAGCTGGAGCACCAGCAGGCACAGCAGCTAAACTTCAATCACGACCAAATTCCCAACCCCACTGTTCTCATAGTACCTGCTCAGCATCCACTTTCCAGCAGGGAGGTTGAAATGGGAATATTCAGCACTTCCAGAGAGCATCCCTCTCTGAGGCATCATGCTGATACTTTTCCTCAGCACTTGAAGAGATCATGAAGGACCGAGACGGCAAGACTGAGTTGTTTTCATGTGGGCTTGGTGGAGGGCTGAAGGAGGGTTGTGGGCAGGCATTAGTAACAAAAGGGCCTTGTTCTTGTGCCAGCCATGAGCTAACCCAGCGAGGCTGGGAGCACCACCATGAGAACAGAAGGGGCTCAGCATCACAGGAAGTTCCCGTGGGCTCATTTCCAACTGGGAGGATTAACAGGAAGGGTCAGTCCCTTCCCTGTCCCCTCTGCCTACAGCACACTCCATGGAAAGGGGCTGACCTGGGCTCTGCTCTGGGGAGATGCCCAGGTGACCCTAGAGCAAGGTCCTGGCCCACCTGGGCTAGAGCAATTCTCAGAAGTATTTCCTGGGGAAAGAGCATTTCACAGCAAGGGATTTGCAAAGACGAGACATGCCTGAGACTTTTCCCAGCAACTGTTGCTGTCACCTGCCAGGGGGCTGGCATCGGTGTGAGCTAAAGAGCAGAGCATGAACTGCTGCTTGGCCCTTTGGGAGGGGACAGAAGGCTGGAGGAACAGCCTGAAAGACTTGTGCTCCACTTAGTGTTCCTGTCAATAAACAAGTGTTCTCTGTGCCCCCTGTCTCCTGCAGAAAAGGAGCCTCCAGCAGTGGCTGAAGGCTGATGTGGAGGGAATGGAGGATGAAAAAGGATATAATGAACCAGAGAAGGGTAAGAGTTGCCTTGGGCAGCAGCTCATCTCTTCAGTCCACCCCAGCTCCCTAAACCCACCTCCAGCAGCAGAGAGGACAGGGGTCACATATCCTGGGGGTCCCATGCCCATCACCAAACCAGCCCTTGGCTCCTAGTGCAGTTTCTGGCTCCTGCAGATACTAACTGGAGCAACATCTGAGCAACATCAGCATCACTCACAGGGGAAAAGCCTGAGGTGGGGTGTCTGCTCCTACCTGCCTGGTTTGTCGTGATGTTGGCGACTGCGGCTCTCCTGGACTCCAGGCTGAGGTCAGACACACCGTTGACGGCCTCTACCCAAAAGGAGTAGTTGGTGTGGGCCAGGAGGTTGGTCACAGTCAGCACCCCCTGCACCAAGCTCATCTGCTGGGGCACAAAGCGGATCCCACTGCCACACGCTTCACAGGGGCCAGCATCCCCCACACAGCGCCTGCAGACCACGTTGTAGACAATGTCAGCGCGTCCCCCCTTGTCCAGGGGCGGGCCCCACTCCAGTGTCACTGAGGTGCCATTTACACTGGAGATCAGGTTCACAGGTGCAGAGGGGGGACCTGGGGAAGAAGCAAAGGTTCAGGAAGAGACAGAGCTGCTGAAGCATGTTGGCAGAGCATAGCACCAACGGGGAGGTGCACCTCGGGCAGCATGTACCTGCACGTACAAAACACTATAGAGAAGACAGAGCTGTCCAGAGTGGGAAATGCTCCAAACAGAGGACAGCAAAGACACAGACAGGTCCTGGGGTGAAATGCCATGGAGGTGAGGTGCTCCGATTTGGATTTGCCAAATGCCAGGCAGGCAAAAGCTGATGTTTGTTCTGGGGGAAGAAGGAATCAATGGGGATGCATGAAGCTTTTGAAGGAAGAGCCAAGGTGTTTATGTGTTGGATAGTGGAGAACAGGACCTGCTCATCTAAATAGAAAAGTAAAGCCACTTTTCCCGGGGAATGGACGGATATCCCCTAGGGAAACACAAGTCAGATGTTGCTGACCTGTCTTTCACTCTGGCTTCAACTAGCAGCCCCACACCTCCTGGACCAACTACAAAGAGCAGGACTCCTCCTGGGATGCTCTTGTCCCCTTTTAATAGCACTAGGCTCCTCAAAGCAGCCTATTGCAGAGAGCTGAGCTGAAACCATATGCAAGCCCTAGTGCCAAACTCCATCCACACCAAAGGAGAGCACAGCAACACTTGCACTGCCCCATGGCCTCCTAAGGCTCTGACCACTCTGGACATTTCTGCAAAGGAAAGCATCCAGCAAGTGGCTGGCGTGCTGGCATGGTCTCAGCATGCTCCATTGCAGGAGAGAGCCCTGGGAGAGGAGCAGGCTCTGGCCAGGGATGTTTGGAGAGCAGCAGGATGAGGATGAGACAGAGGACAGCAAGGGAGTGTAGCTAAGTGGGTCTCAGCTCATGCAATGAAGGGAGACCTGGGGTTGAAAGGCTTCTACAGTGCTTGGACAGCATGCAGAGAGGTGAGGGTGTGTGCTGGGCTCAGCCTGGGAGCATTGACCATGTCCGAGGATGGGTGCCTGCCCCGCTGCAGGGCAGATGGGTGCCTGGGCAGCCAGGGTACTCACGCGTGCAGGCGGCCGAGGGGGGGTCCTGCACTGCCCTGTAGAAGCTGCTGTCGCAGCGGCAGACACGGGCTGCCCGGCTCTCCGAATGGCTGTGCAAGGGGCACTTTGCACACAGCTGGTCCCCAGGGGCTGATTTGTAAAATCCCAGCTGGCAGGCTGCAGAGGAGGGAACGGGCAGAGATCAAAGGGATGCATCTGGATGAGGAGCACCCCATGGCTTGGTGAAACCCACCGGCACAAATCTGGACCCCACTCTCACCCCCAAACCAGTGCATGGGAAATCAGTCCTTCTCCCCAACACCTAGATGAGTCCTTGCTTCCGCTGTCCAGCTGGAAACCAGGTTCTGTGAAAATTACTTTTGTCTCTCCCCCCAGGCTGTACTTACTGCCATCCTGGTACCAGTTCTCCACTGTTTCACAAGCAGACTCTGGTGCCTCTACTTTTCATGAGCTGCCTGCAAAGCTTGAGGTGCTCTCCTGGCACCTGTGCCTGCTCTCCTGAGCTCTCCCCACTGCAGCCACCCCTCCGGGCCACCACCTGGCCCCAGGGTAGGGAGCACTGTGATAATCAAACCAAACAGCACTGCAGATCACCTGGTAAACTATTCTAAGGACCATAATTTCTGGTGAAAATGTATGGCACAGTCCTCACTTCAAAGTGGTTGCCACATTATTCATGCTGGGTGTGGCCAGGTGCCCAAGAGCATCCTTGTGGGTGGTTTCAAGAATTAAAGGCTCTGCACCTGGGACAGGCACTGTCTGGTGCAGTTGTTTTCATGTGGGCTTGAAAACAACTGCTATAGCAGTCGTGTGCTGCTATAGCAAACGACAAGTTTTCTTGCACAAAACAAGGGAAAATGCCTTCTTGTTTCACGTTGCAGCAAACCACGCACGCTGCCTGCTCTCTGTGGAGTAACAGCAAAGCCAACTGAGCCAGACTGAGTTTTTATTGACAACACAACCCACCTTCCATCACTCTGCCTCCTCCTTTGCTGGGGGCTGTGCGGCAGGAGCTCACACATCCCACCCCAGGGCTGTCACCTCTCTGCTCCATCCTACCCGCACCTCTCCCAGCAGCCCCGCGGGTGAATCATTTGTCACCCAAACAAACAACTTGTATCCCATTAGGAAAATCGATTAGCTCAAGAGTGACATGTGTAATGTCAGGTATCTGTCTGGGGCTGAAAGGACCTGTCCTCTCTTGCAGATTTCAATTCCAAGTAAGGAAAAACAGGCTCTGTCTGGGTCCCTGTATTCATCAAATAGTTCTAGGACCAGTTCCAGTGATTCAAGCATTATTGCTGGCTCTGACTCTTTTCTGGTTTTCCCTACTGTGGTAGTAATACCTTCATTTTCCCATCTTTGCCTCCAGTGGCCAGCTCTGCATACAGCCTAAATTTTTTGCTTCCAAACATGTAGAAGGGTTTTGTTTGTGATCCAGCATCCCCGGTGGATCTAGGTGCTGATTTGTTTTCTTATTAATAACACTCCTTTCCTTGCCACAGATCTCCATGGACTGATTGCTACCAACATATTTCACATATCTCATGCTGCACAGTAATACAATGACCTCTTTATAACTGAACTACTTCCAGCAATGGCACCTGAAGGTAGTGCTACAGCCACACACATCCCTGGTAGCTTGCTGGTTCCTCTTCAGACTCTGTCACCAGCTTCTGTGGCAGTTTTGCACTGAATGCTGCTTTAAAGACAGAGGAGCAATACCACCAGCAGGATGTACATGTGTTGCACATGCCGGAGATGTTGATATCGCAGGTTGTTATCACAGCTTGGGATAGCAGGCTGGAAAAAAACAAAGGCCAGAAGCTCCAGAGTTTGTTTCTAAATTCCTGCTCTTCCACTCTCCAAAGAGGATCAGAGCAAGGAATAGAAATGCTCAAACTTGGGGATATAGGGAAGGCAGATGTGACTTATGAGGAAATTGCAGTAGGTTGGGGCTGGATTTGCTCCCCAGATCTCTTGACACCTTTCACCTCCTCAAGGGCAGCAGGAGAAGTGAGAAAACAGGAGAGGTAGAGCTGGAAGAGAAGTTTTGCTGTCCCCAGCCAGTCAAACCAAGGAGAGCCCAGGACATTTGCCAAGTTCTGGTGATGACTGGTCCTCATGATGTCACACACCAAGAGAGCCAGAGAGTCTCTGCTTTATGAAATGCCTTCTGCCTGATGCTGCAACACCCTCTGGTCTGCGACACCTTGTTTTTGTGTGTAAGGATGAGATGAGTACTGTGAGACTGAGAACACTGTTACAGGTGATCTCAGGTGGGGATAAATTTGGGAGGTAGCCAGCTGGGGAAAAAAAACAACAAACAAGTCTGTAAGAAAGAAAAGTTCCCAGTTTTTCCATGTGGGAAAGGATGAAGACACAACATAAACACAGCCTACCCAGCAATGAAACAGCACCACAGCCCGTGCTGGGTGGTGTGCATGCCAGGATTTGCCACCTTCAATTTGTTGTGTGAACCCTGCCTTACACCTATAAACCTCGGTCATCTCCACCCATGCAGGAACCAGCAACCAGAGACTCTTGATTCAAGAGGCACTGAAGTGGTTGTCCCCACAAATATTTAATTGAGGGCAGAGAAATCAGTCCTATATCAGGTATGGAGAGACAGGCAAACAGGAAGGATCGGAGCACGAAGCACAGCAGATTTGCACCAAGCAATTGTAATCACTTAGCATTTAATGCTGGAAAAAAACCCACGTTAATTACCTGTAGCAATGATTCACAATTATTTTAGATGCACTCAGGGGGAAAATTATCCTAAATGACAAATTACAGATGAATTTGTGCACCAGGGCAGAGCCGTTGGGAGACACCTCCCAGCACCTGGACAGCATGAGCACTCAAGGAGGCCTGGAGAGCAACTGACGTTGTGGCAGGCACTGCTCTGGGTGGGGTCATGCACCTCCATGTGTCTCTGTACTTGCCTGAGGTGGAAACAGGACACATGTGCAAAGCCTTTCGCAGGCACAGGAGACAAGACACCAGGTTGGAACCTGCATGAGATATGAAATCTCTATAATATAAGATGATAGGCATGTCGTCCTCTGGATTGGGCTCCCTCATGCCAGGCCAGTGACACACAGAAGACCAGGACCTCCCTGGTTAGCTCTGGTAAGAGAAAACCAGCAGAGAAGTGGCCAGCAAGAAAAATTAAATTAAATGGGTTTAAAAATTTAAAAATTTTAGACCTGGGTCTAAAATCTACAGGGCTCCACAGCCATGGTTGTAGCACACGCTGAAGCCATTGAAATCTGAAGCCACCAACCAGGGAGGTGCAGAACCTTTTTACTGCTGTCTTTACTGCAACTAGTTACTGCCACCTGCCAGAAGTGCCCTCCCAGGAGCACTGCAGAAGGTGGAAAATTTTATTATTATTATTATTA